TTTTTTTTTTTTTTTTTTTTTGAGGCAGGATCTCACTCTTGTCACCCAGGCGGGAGTATAGTGGTACCGTCATAGCTCATTGCAGCCTCGACCTCCCCCGATCAAGCGATCCTTCCACCTCAGCCTCCCAAGTAGCTGGAACTACAGGTGCGCATGCCACCATACTCAACTAAGTTTTTTGGTCTCTCTTTTTATTTGTTTATTTTTTTTCTGTAAGACAGAGTTTCGTTCTTGTCGCCCAGGCTGGAGTGCAGTGGCACGATCTCAGCTCACCGCAACCTCCACCTCCCAGGTTCAAGCGATTCTCCTGCCTCAGCCTCCCAGGTAGCTGGGACTATAGGCATGCACCACCACACCCGGCTAATTTTGGGTTTTTTGTTTGTTTGTTTTTTGTTTTTTGTTTTTTTGAGACGGAGTCTTGCTCTGTCGCCCAGGCTGGAGTGCAGTGGCCCGATCTCAGCTCACTGCAAGCTCCACCTCCCGGGTTACCCATTCTCCTGCCTCAGCCTCCCGAGTAGCCGGGACTACAGGTGCCTGCCACCTTGCCCGGCTAATTTTTTGTATTTTTAGTAGAGACAGGGTTTCACCGTGTTAGCCAGGATGGCCTCGATCTCCTGACCTCGTGATCTGCCTGCCTCAGCCTCCCAAAGTGCTGGGATTACAGGCGCGAGCCACCACGCCCGGCCAAATTTTGTATTTTTTTTTAGTAGAGATGCGGTTTCTCCATGTTTGTCAGGCTGGTCTCAAACTCCTGACTTCAGATGATCTGCGTGCCTTGGCCTCCCAAAGTGCTGGGAATATAGGCGTGAGCCACCATGCCCGGCCCGTTTTTGGGTCTTGAGTAAAGATATGGTCTCACTATGTTGTCCAGGCTGTCCTTGAACTGCTGGACTCAGACCATCCTCCTGCCTCGGCCTCCCAAAGTGCTAGGATTACAGGCATGAGCCACCACACCTAGCCAGGAAAAATTTATTTCTTGTTTCAAAGAAATGCCTTCCTCAATTTCCCCATCTGTGAAATGGGGATTGGGACACCTCTGTACCAGGGTGGCTGTGGCAGTCTATTTGAGGGCCACTCTAATGCCTGGCAGTGGGGAGGGAATGGAGAAGGCGTCAGGAAATGCTGGGGCCACTGACTGTCCTTCTTCTGGCCCCCAGGCCTCCAGGCCCAAGGTCAGCATCCCACTGTCAGCCATCATTGAGGTCCGCACCACCATGCCCCTGGAAATGCCAGAGAAGGACAACACGTTCGTGCTCAAGGTGAGGTCTCACCCCTAATCCCAGAGATCCTCCAGCTGCTCCAGGCCACCTCCCCTTTGGGTGCTACAGTTCCATAGGGGAGCAAGGGGAAGAAGCCTAAGGCAGGACGGTAGTGGGAGGGAGCCCTGGTGTAGCGGGGGGTCCCCAGACCCTATGACAGATGCCTAATACATAGCTAAGACTTGAGTCTCGGCTCCACAGCCAAGTGCCCCAGGCGTTGCCCAACATCTGGGCCCCTTGCTCCCATTTACCCCTGGGCCTGGGCGAAGCTCATCAGTTTCACTTCCTGCCCTCCCTTCCCCCACTGGAGCCAGCACACACCCACCCCACTGGTGGCCAGCCGGCAGCAGTTATGCAAATGTTCCCGTCCCAGGGCACTGGAGTGTGGGAACCAGGCGGTCTCCCACAGAGGGCACAAAGGCATTGAGGGTGGGCGGGGAAGCACCCCGGTGGGTCTAGAGGCAGCCCATCCTTTTCCCAGGCCCCACACCGCACGCCAGGGTGGCCTGCAGGGGTTTCTGAGGACACGACTCCAGGCTGCCAGAGCTGTGGTCCCTGGGACTCCGCAAAGGATCAGAGGGTGTTGATGAAGCAGGGTCCCCCTGGGATGCCTGGTCCCACCCACTCACCCTGCATGAAGCCCCCACCCTCTTCTCCCGGCTTCTGGTTGTGTTTGTGTTTGTACCCGTTCCCATTTGTTTAGTCACGACTTGCTTTTTCGTTTAATGAATGTTTACCAACCCCGGACCCTGAGTCATGCCAGGCTAGGGGCTGGGGACACAGTCCCTGCCCACCTGGTACCCTCTAAACTGCCGATCGTGCATGACAGCCCTGTGGCAGAGGGGCTCGCCTGCCTCAATTTCCCCATCTGTTCAAAGAGGGATTAAAGGCAGTCTCCGAGAACCCACCCAACTCTGTCATCCTGGGAGTCCAACAACTACATTGTTTGGTTTTTTGTTTATTTGTTTGGAGATGGATCTCACTCTGTCCCCCAGGTTGGAGTGCAATGGCGCAATCTTGGCTCACTACGACCTCCTCCTCCCAGTCTCAGGCGATCCTTCCATCTCATTCTCCTGAGTAGCTGGGACCAAAGGCACATGCCACCATGCTTGGCTAATTTCTGTATTTTTGGAAGAGACGGGGTTTTGCCATGTTGCCTAGGCTGGCCTCGAACTCCTGAGCTCAGGAGATCTGCCCGCCTGAGCCTCTCACAGTGCTAGATTACAGGTGTGAGCCACCACGCCCAGCCCAGCGACTACATTTTGACAGAGGCACACCACCGGAAGCCGACAGCACGGGACCTGGGTGTCCCAGAGACCTGGGTTCAGGCCCTGGCCCTGCCACTGGCTGCTGTGGGACTTTGAGCAAGTTCCTTGGCCTCTCTGAATCTTGGTCTTCTCATCTATAAAATGGGAGAAATGGCTTCCCTCCCTCACAGGGCCGTTGGGAGGAGTTGAGCAGAGTGCAGGGTTATGCTCTGGGCCTGGCCCCAGCAGGGATGTCCCCTGCCCTCTTCCCCTTCAGAGGCTGCATATCTCAAGCACATGGCCATGCTGGTAGAACTCCAGGCACTAAGACGTGCAAGGCACCCTACTCAGTGTGCCTCTCCACTCAACTTGAACCTCATCCCTGCGGTGCCAGGGCATGGGCTGGGGATGCTGGGCCACCCATCCCTCCCCCCACCAGCATGGCCCCCTCAGAGGCTGCGTCTCCAAGGCAGAGGAGCTGAGATCAGTGAGGCGGGACATATCCCCAGTGGGGAGGCCCAGGAGGGAGGGAGCACAGAGTGTGAGCTGCAGGCTGTGCCACCGGGTCCCTGGCCTGAGTTCCGGGTGGTGCCCGACGATGAACCCCACTGTCTTTCCTGCTGCTTATGCCCTTGAGCCCTGCTGTGGGAGTGGGAGATGAGCCATTTGAGCCATTCTGGCCCTGTGTCCTGTAGTCCAGAGCCTGTCTGCTGACCGTGTTCTGGACTCCCGGCCACCTTCCTCCCCAGGTAGAGAATGGAGCTGAGTACATCCTGGAGACCATCGACTCTCTGCAGAAGCACTCGTGGGTAGCCGACATCCAGGGCTGCGTGGACCCCGGGTGAGTGTCCAAGTGGCCCAAGGATGGGTGGACAGGCTGGGTGTGTCCTTGGTCCAGCCTTCACCAGAAGCAGCTTTCTAGCAGGGCGGGAGCTCAGCTTGAGAAACGAGCAATTCAATGTGATTCAGGTTGGTGCCAGCCAGGATCACCCTCCTTTAAAATACCCGCTACCTCCAATCCCCAGCAGGCTCTGTGAGGCCTGCTCTATGGGGCCAGGGCCTGGGGACCTGGAAGGAAGTTGGACCAAGTCTTGTCTTCACCTCAGGAGAGCCTCAGAGCACTGGGAGTTGGGCAGAGATGGGAGTGAGTCCCCAAAGGGCTGGGGGCCTGGTGCAGTGGCTCACACCTGTGACCCCAACACTTTGGGAGGTTGAGCTGAGCTGGGAGGACCGCTTGAGCCCAGGAGTTCAAAACCAGCCTGGGCAACATAGCCAGACCCTCCTTTTTTTTTTTTTTTTTTGAGACAGGGTTTTGCTCTGTTGCCCAGGCTGGAGTGCAATGGTGTGATCTTGGCTCACTGCAACCTCCGCCTCCGAGGTTCAAGGGATTCTCCTGCCTCAGCCTCCCGAGTAGCTGTGATTACAGGTGCCCACCACCATGCCCAGCTGATTTTTATATTTTTAGTAGAGATGAGGTTTCATCGTGTTGGCCAGGCTGGTCTCAAACTACAGACCTCAAGTGACCCACCCACCTTAGCCTCCCAAAGTGCCGGGATTACAGGCATGAGCCACTGTGTGCAGCCAACCCTGTCTCTTAAAATAAGAAAAATAAAAAGAGCTGGAGAGAGGCTCCTAACCCAGCTCTGGGCTCAGGGAAGGGTTGCTGATAGGTGTGCTCACCTAACCCGAGGCTTAAATAAAGAGTGGACCAACGCTAGGCAGAGGAGGATGGGAGAAGGCAGAGAGAACAGCCCAGCAAAAAGAGTGGAAACGGAACTGGGCACGGTGGCATGCATCTGTTATCCCAGCTACTCTGGAGGCTGAGGCTGGAGGATCGCTTGAGCCCAAGATTTGGAGGCTACAGTGATCTAGGACTGCACCACTGCACTCCAGCCTGGGCAAAAGAACAAGACCCTAACTCTTAAAAAATAATAATAAAAATTTGGGCAGGGCTAGGCGCAGTGGCTCACACCTGTAATCCCAGCACTTTGGGGAGCCGAGGCAGGCAGATCTCCTGAGGTCAGGAGTTTGAGACCAGCCTGGCCAACATGGTGAAACCCCATCTCTACTAAAAATACAAAAATTAGCTAGGCATGGTGGCGGGCATCTGTAATCCCAGCTACTCAAGAGGCTGAGGCAGAAGAATCGCTTGAACCCGGGAGGCAGAGGTTGCAGTGAGCTGAGATTGTGCCATTGCACTCCAGCCTGAGCGACAGAGCCAGACTCTGTCTCAAAATAATAATAATTTTAAAAGGTGTGGAAGTGTACAGGCACCTGGGACTTGCAGGGAACATCAAGGCCTTTGGGGTAGCCAGTGAGGAGGAGGTTTTGATGAGAGCTCAGGAAACGGGTAGGTCAGGGACAATGGGAGCCATGGTGGGTAATAAGCAGAGGGCACTTACGGTCAGCTGTGAACAGGAAGAGCAGCAAGAAGGTTGGCTCCACCGTCCAGGAGAGATGCCAGGCCAGGAGTAGGAGGGACAGGCAGCCTGAGACGCTGAGCAATTGGCAGCAGCTCTGCTGGCTAATGGGGTGAGCCAAGCCCCCGGGGGAAGGGCCGCTGCTTTCTAATTAACAGCTTCATTTAAAGAAACACAATTAAGGTCCTGGGCGCCTCCCAGGCCCTGATCCACAAAGTGGTTGGAATCCCTCCTCCGCCGCCCTCCGGGCCATCTGCTCTGCAGACTCTTTCCCTAGCCCCTGTGAAGGTGAACCTCACTTGGTGGAATTTTCGAGCTGGCAGGGTCCCAGACACCTCGTGTCACAGACGGGGCGAGAACCCTTCCCACCCTCTGAGGGTCTCCACGGGATCCTAGGAGGAGCCCAGCCCCTCAGGGATAGTGGGCAGGGATCATGAGCCCTCAGCGGGGACTGTACCCACTTGGTGGTATCCGGGCCACGAGAGAACCTTCCCCTTGGCTGTCTGAAGTTTCAGTGGAAAATCAATTTTGCAAAAGGCAGATAAACAAGAGAAAAGACATACAAATTTATTTATTTTTATTTTGTTATTTTATTTTTTAGAGGTAGGGCCTTGCTCTGTCGCCCAGGCTGGTGTACAGTGGTGCAATGAAGCTCACTGCAGCCTCGACCTCCTGGGCTCAAGCGATCCGCCTGCCTCAGCCTCCCAAGTAACTGGGACTATAGGCACATGCCACGAGGACTGGCTAATTTTTTTTTTTTTTTTTGAGACAGAGTCTTGCTCTATCATCCAGGCTGGAGTGCAATGGCACAATCTCAGCTCACTGCAACCTCCACCTCCCAAGTTCAAGCAATTCTCCTGCCTCAGCCTCCTGAGTCGCTGAGATTATAGGTGCCTGCCACCATGCCCAGCTAATTTTTGTATTTTTAGTCGAGACAGGGTTTCCCCATGGTGGTCAGGCTGGTCTCAAACTCTTGACGTCAGGTGATCTGCCAACCTCATCATCCCAAAGTGCTGGGATTATAGGTGTGAGCCACTGCACCCAGCCTAATTTTTTTTTTTTTTAAGAGATGGGTAATCCCAGCACTTTGGGAGGCCAAGGCGGGCGGATCACGAGGTCAGCAGATCGAGACCATCCTGGCTAACACGGTGAAACCCCGTCTCTACTAAAAATACAAAAAATTAGCCGGACGTGGTGGCAGGCGCCTGTA